ACAAATACTTATTTCTGTAATTTCTCTAATTTTAGGTTTATAACAAATCATTATTTAAGAATTGATAAAACTCAGGATGTAGAATGGGGTTATGCATTTGATATACATTTAAATGCATTTTTTCCACCTTTAATTATACTCCATATCGTACAATTGTTTTTATACAAAGGTAAAGTATCTTGTTTTTTATTTTATTAATATTTTTTTTTATTTTTAATTTATATATAATTTTAAATATTTTTTTCTTTTGTTATTAATTCTATTGTTTCAGGTTTTATAAACTATGATACATTTTCATCACGATTTGTTGGAAACACAATCTGGTTAATAGCTGTTAGTTATTATATTTACATAACATTCTTAGGTTATACAAGTAAGTGTATAAATTTAATTATTTACGTAACACATTATTAAAGAATTATAATGTTTTACAAAATTAAAAAGAATTAAAAGAGATTATTATAAGTTAAAAAATTAATATATTTTTTAATATTTATTTTAGGTATGGAAATAATTCATAAGACACATATGATATTATCAACATTACCAATAATATTACTGATATATATTATGACATTATGTGCAGGAATTAATATTAGTCATTTAGTTATGGAATTTTATCATTATCGAGTTGTTTGAATAAAATTTGTTGTTTCATTACGAAAATTTATTTTAAATTAATTTTCATATTTGATACATTTTTATATTTTAAAATGATAATAATGAATAAATTATGATTATTAATGTTGAAAATATTTATAGATTGGAAAATTTTTACTATTTAATAAAAAATTCAGTTTATTTATTTTATATTTTAAAATAAAATATACAAAAATATTAAATATTAAAAATTTAATTTTATGATAATTTTATTATTACAGGATATATTTATATTAATTATTTATATTTATATTTATATTACTTAAATTAGAATTATTAATTTTTTTTATATAATATGTCTTCTAATAAATTATTATATTATATAAATTATTTTATAATATCATAATATTTCATTTTTAAAATTGAGTTAATTTATTGCATATAAAATAAATAATATGAAGTATACTATAAAAATATTTTTTGAATACCTTTAATCCTTTGATTATTTAAAAACAATTATATAAATTCAGAGCTATTTATGATATAAATTTTATAGTTAAGCAAAAACATATATAGATATAATTATTAATAATAATCATAATATTAATAATTATTAATAAAAATCTAAAAATTAAAATTAAGAAATCAAAAATTAAAAAATTTTAAGAAATACAAATGTTATAATATTCATTTTATATATTATTTTTTTATAAAAGTTTAGGTTGCCGTTTTAAAGTCGAAATATCTAAAATCTTACTGGGACAAGTTGTTCTAGGTGTTTGGTTAAATGGAAAATGTTGTAATGTTTTCACATTACTTTTTGAATCTGAAATTTTTAAATCAACCTTTGGAGATCCATCATCTTTACCAATATCTGAAGAATAGGATAAAAATTTATTATTTCTTATTCTATTTTATTAATTTAATTTAATTAAAATTATAATATTATAAAAATTTTTTATTTTTTTTACCTTCTACTTGAATATTATTTTTTCCTGGAAGCAGTTGATATCTTTCTAAATAACGCATTGTGGCAAAAGACATGTTTGTACCTTGAACATTGCTAACCATGAGATGCTGAAGAGATGAACTTTGTCTTTGTACTGCTAATTCAGCAAGTTGTTCATCAGTTAGATATTTTAAAGCTAATGCTTTCATATGCATACTTGTATTTGTTTCATTTACAGCATTTGTAGTTTGTGTCATATTTGTTTGGTAATCCAAACGCGGATAGAATGATAAATCAAATGCTTTCCTTTTAAATAAATTATTAAAATTATTTATCATTCATAGAGCAAACTTAATTAAATCGAATATGTAAATTAAAATTATAAAGGACATTCATCAAAGAATCATAAAAGATCATAAAAGTATTTCATATGAAATATAAAAATTGTTTGATCAAAATTTTGATGATTATTTGAAGATCACTTAAAATTTTTTTAAGTAAAGTGTCATGTTTTCGTTTCGATATAACAAAAAAATAAATTTATTATTTTTTTAAATAACATTTCTATAAAGTGATTTTCTATATTTTTATAAAAAATTTTTATAAAATAATCTTTAAAATTTTGATTAAATTATTTTTAAATATTAGTTTAGATATTAAGTTCTATAATCTAAAATCTTATTATATTTTTTTCAATTTTTCATTATTATATTCTAAATAAAACATAATAGAAAAACATTTTTTTAAAGATTATTGTTTTTTTTTGTAGTATCAATCATTTAATAAATATATTTCAAATAATTATTAATAAAGATACTAATAAATTTTGTACTCATATTATAGATTTAATTATTAAAATAATTTTAGTCTATTTTGTATAAAATTAAAAAAAAATATATAACATCTGATGAAGTAAAAAATTACTTAAATTAAATTATATATTATATTAATAAAATATAAATAAACAATTTTCTTAATATATGAATTTTTAAAAAATTTTTAAAACATACTTGTTGCTATTGTTTGATTCCTTAACTTCTGAATTTTCATGTAAACTAATTCCAAGCTTTTTGAGTTGTTCTAATGTAGCTACTTTTACAGTATCTAATACTGTTTTATTTTCAATTTCATCTCGTTCATTTTGATTTATTTTTGTTTGTTTTTGTTGTTGATCATCTATAATACAAGAATTTTGCAATAATTGATTTACTCGTCCAATAACATTATTGTAAAATGTCCAGCCCACTTTTGAACTATGTTTAACATGTTCGCTATCATCATCACTAGAATACTCATTCATTTCAACATGAATGCTAGGTTCTGGAGTAGGTGGTCTTTCATTTATTTTTAAATCATCACCATTTAAAATCAAACTATCTTCAATATTATTGATTTGTTTAAATCTAGAAATTTGTCCTTCTTTTTGATAATCATTATAATAACTAGATTTATTTATAAAGTTACTTGTTTGTATAGATTCATTATCTTGTATATTTTGTTTTTTATTTTGATCCATATTAGTAAGAATATTTTCTTTAAACTTTCTATTTTTTTGAATATGATTTTCAGTATTTCTTTGTATCATTGATGTTTTTATAGTTTTATAATCTGTTATTTCCTCTGTAGAATTTTTTAAATGTTTTTTTATTTTATTTTCAGTTTCATTTAATTTTGTTGTTATATCTTTACACAATTTTGGAGATTCAGATCTATGAATATGTGTTTCTTTTCGTACATCTACATATGCTTGTTTCTCTAAATCTTTTGTAGAAGTACTTGCATTTAAGTTACTGCTTTGTTGTTGACTAGATGACATATAACTTTCTGAATCTTCAACTATATTTTCTAATTGTGCACTAGGTATTCGAGTAAAAGAATTCTTATATCTTCTTAATGATTCATTCGTATCAAGACAAACATTATTACACATTTTAAAATTTTCTTGTTGGCTATCTTTTTTTTCATAATTTTCAATATCCATTGTAAAAGGATTATTTTGTACAGTAAATTCAAAACTTGTCATTACGCCAATTGAAACTTTTTTTTCCATAAATGTTTTTTTCGATTGTGTATCTGTTAATATCAATTCATTTTGATTTATATTTTCATTTTCATTATAATTATCTTTTTTTTTATCTTTAAGAGGTTCTTTTTGATATATATTTTTTTTCGTATTTTCTGGTACATAATTAGAAACATCTAAAATATTATTAGAATTCGCATATAATTGATCATGTTCTTGTGATTGAAATGAACAAGAACATTTTTTCTTTTCTTTTAAATTTTCTTCTTGCATTTTCAATAATCTATCTATTTGTATCTGTAAAGATTTAATTTGTTCATTTTGATTATTTATAATCTGTAATAAATTTTTTACTGTTTCTTGATTATCTGTATTGTGAATAGAATATGGATGAAGTTGAGGAAATGAATATGAATTCATATTAAAATAAGGATATTGTCCTAAATAATGTGGTAATTGAAATTCACTTTGTTGCAATTTATTTGGATTAATAGATAAATTTTGTATATTTGATTCAGAAATTGAATCATTATATGGTATTTTTTGTTTAGAATTATTAGTTGTCAGCTTTCTTTTGTGTAATGATGGAGAATATTCATTTTCATTAATAATATAATTGTCAGCATTAATGTCAGGCTTATTAATATGTGACATAGCAGACAAAGAATCTACTCTTTTTTCATTATAATCTGTATCTTGTTTTCTTTCTGTATGAATTACATTATTCTCAGATATTTCATAATTATATTTATGAAAACAATCATCATTTTTTCTATTTATTTCTTTGCTTTGTGAAGAATTATAAATATCTGTTCTCAAAGTGTCATTTTTTTCTTTAGATTTATTTGAAGTATTTATAGTGTTATCCTCTACTAAATAAGAATGTATGATGTAATTCTGTTTAGATTGTTCTTTATGAGGAATTGTACAAGAAGATGGATGTTTCCATGAATAATTTTGTTCTTTCCAAGCTGCATATGATCCATTAACATTTAATGAAGAAGAACCATTATTTTTACATATTAAACTCTTAGGTTTTATGGATGGTGAGTGGAAATTTGTATTTTCTGTACTCTTAAAACTCAAAGGTTTATCAAATATTAAAGAAACTTCAGGAACTGAGGGCACCGTAAAACACTAAAATATTATAAAATATTATAAAATATTATAAAATATTATTAAAAACATAAGTTATGTTATAAGTTTAATGTTAAAATTCATTATATATATAATCAATTAAAATAATTTTAATTAAAATATATTATTTTTCAGATATCTTTCTAAATTTTAAATAGATAAAAATTTTAACAAAATTTATTATCAACAAATTTATTATATTCATTAATATTTACTCTTTATTAATAGTTATTGTAATTAAACTTTTATTTTTTATGAAATATTTATTAAATATAGACAAAATAAATATATAATAATTTTATTTTAAATTTATCAATATTATAAAAGACTTAAAAAGATAATTTGTTAATAATTACTTAGAAAAAAACTTACATCAAGTTTAGATGCAGGTTTTGGTGTAAGTCTTGGTTCCAATTCATCTTCATCATAACAAAACATATTTTAATCTAAACTAATAATTATAATTTATATACATTTACTTTTACAAAATTTTTATATATAAATAATATTTTTAAAAAAATGTTATCTTATAATTAAAATTTCAAATTTTCAGTAACAATTTTATGAATTATTTATATTATTTTAATATAAATTATTTTTTATAATAATATTTTATTTAAAATACTTCTATTCTACTGGAAACTCATTTCAAACAAATTGTATAATAAATGATTCGAAACAAAAGTATAGCCAACATAACATTCATAATAAATT